GCCAATTGTATCTTTCTCCCAAAAGAATGTAGCAGCAAACAACTTATGTCTGAGGTTTTTAACTAAATGACTTGCAGATTCATTTAGCAAAGTAATTTTAAAATGGCTAAAAGAAAAGAAGAAACATATCTCCCACTGGGTTTTTGTGAAAGCAAAAAGGGGATGCCAGCTCTTTCATGTTGATCTGACTTTTGATATAATTTAGACTGAAATCTGATGCTACCTGGTCTCCTAGCATTGTGCCAACACAGAGAGGCCAGTTCTGCTGGGCTTTCTCTCTAAAAGCCTCCTGGTTCTCCAGTACTACTCCACTGCCTCCTGCAGAAAAATCCTGTTTTCCAAAGAGTATCACAGACAGGAATGGTGATGAGTGAGCCTATTTCATAGTTTCCAAAAGCCTAGCAGAAAATAAACATTTTCTTATGACAAAGGCCATAGGCATACTAGAACACCAGGTTCTTTTGCTTTTAGCTGGAATCAAATCATATTACTTAGAATCAAAGATTCATAGTTAGATGTCTTTAATTGATTAAAATGGGGAAAGAAATTGTTGGGAAAATATAAGGAAAATGGTCAGGGCCCCTTGGATGTTCAGAGTCTTCCCAAGCATCTGAGGTGGGTATGTACATACGCACAAGTGTTCCTTGTCATTGTCTAATGTAATTGTGCATGTGCATCTGGGTTTTTTTCTTTTTCTGGATTATGGACTTTAGTAAAAAGGACTAACTCATAGATGCATGAAGCTTCTAGAGTACACTCCGGGAAGCCATATTAGGTTGACTGCCCCTAGCTCTGAATAAAGCCTATTATTTCTTCACCCAGAGCTCCAAGGACCTTTTCCTATTACCTAGCTCATAGACCTGAATGTGAAGGGTTTGTGGCCCAGTCTGAACAACGCGCTCAAGGGGTCTGTGAGACCTAGCCTTAGCTCTACAGAAATAATTACTTAAGAAATGTACTTTGTTTGGCAGATAGCATTATTTATCTAGTGTCCAGGAAACAGGAATAGAAACAAGAAATATGTACTTTGTTTAGAAGAAATGAAAGCCATGCCTTACAGGAGAATTCCCCTAGGTCACTGCCTCCTACCACCCCTCACTACTAAGGACACTGTTACTGTTTCCAATGGCTCAAAGACGTAAACAACAATTCAATTTCTCAAAGATTCTACAAAATCTACCCAGCATCCTTCCTTTAAAGAACTGCCGCCACCACCACCTCACCTCATATGGTCCTGGAGGGACTAGAAATTGTAGCACTCCCCAAACCCGTACTCCACACACACACACACACACACACACACACTTTCACTGTCACCACCCTATATGGCAATCTTATTCTTCCTCTGTTACATCTGACTCTTGAGCAAAGACACTTGGGGATGAAAAAATGAATGAAGCTGAGTCATCTGAGAGCGGCCAACTAGAAAAGCCAATCCCCTAGTCTCTGCTGCTGAGATCCCTGGAGTTGCGCTTGTTCTTGGTCCTTCCTCAACCCTGCTTGTTCAGTTCTTCCTTACTTAATTACTTAATGTTGCATAATAAAGAATTTAGCTAGTCTTTGTCCTCAGTTCCTGGGAGGTAACCACTAAACTGTTGGAATTTTTCCAGTGACAAGAGTGTCTTTATTCATGGTGGGCCTCATGGATCACATCTGAGTTCATGCTAATGAGATGACACAGGTTACCAGAAAAGTCAACCATGTGATTAGAGGGTTGGGACTTTGAGCTAGGTGATACCAATCCAACCACCTGGAAGGGAAAGGGAGCTGGAGATTAAGGTCAATCACGTGGCTAATAATTTAATCAGTCATGCCTATGTAATGAAACCCTAATAAAAACACTGGACACCACAGTTTGGTTGAGTTTCCTGGCTGGAAAACACATTGATGTGCTGGGAGAGTGATGTACCAGGAGAGGACACAAAAGTGCCACATTTGGGACCCTCCCAGATCTCATCCTATGGGTCTCTTCTTTTGGCAGGTCCTGATTTGTATCCTTCATGATAAAACCGTAATCATAAGTATAGAACTTTCCTGAGTTCTATGAGCAGTTCTAGTGAATTATCAAACCTGAGGGGGTCGTGGGAATCCCCTAATTTGTAGCCAGTTGGTCAGAAGTACAGGTGGCCTGGGAATACCCTGAACTTATTATGGCTGGTGTCTGAAGTGAGGGAAGTCTTGTTAGGGACTGTACCCTTAATTTGTGAAGTCCACATTAACTTCAGGTAGTTAGTGATAGAATTATATTATTTAATCTCTCTCTTTGCCTCATTTGTCTCACCTGTAAATGTAGATAATCATAGCATCTATACTTAATGAAGTTTTTGTGAGGAATAAGTGAGTTAATACATGTAAAACACTTAAAACAGTGCTTAGCACATATTAAACACTATATAAATGTTAGTAACAGTGGGTTTTGAGTTGTTTTCATGCTAAAGTCCAGAGCTAGCTAATCTAGAAATTAGCAGGGTTTTCTGCTAAAATCTAAATAACACAGAGAAAAGACTGGCTCCCAACATTAGTCAGAAAATGTTAACAACACTAATCATACAGATGATATTGACATTAGCCAGCTAATATTCTGAACACAAATGACCACTGCTAATATCTACATCATCTATCTAACTCAGACCAGCCAGCTTGAGTCAGTGCCAGAATATTACATGCTTTTTGTAACACTGGAAATCACCACTTCAAAGAGATTAGGGGCCTTACTCTGAGTAATGAAGTAAATTATTGGGAAGAATAGAACACAAGAAGATTCTCACTTTTAGTTTGTCAAACCACCAGGTATAAAAAACATGGAAAGCAAATCCTAAAATGGTACATATAATATATATAATTTCTTATATCTTAGCTGTGAGCTACATCATTGTGCATTGAAATTGTGTTTTTCTCTGCTCATGGGTAATGGGGACACTCCCCACAAAAAATGTGCTTTATTGTCTTCCATTTTCCTGTAATTTAGAATACACTGGAAGTGTTCCAAATTGCTGCTGAGTCCAGAAATAAGGTTCTTACCAGAGAATTGCCAGGAGCTGTTTTCTAGTATGATGATTTAGTCCCTCCGTTTCTGCCCTCTTGGTCACTTTCCATTCCCAGATACTTCAATGTGAGCTTTTAGAAAAGGCCAGGAATGCCCTCCCTGCCATCTTTCATTCTAAGTTCCTACTTTTGAAACCCACTCTTAAAAACTAGGCACCTTGTCTTCATGTTATTAAAGAGAAAAAAAGAAAACCAAAATTAAATGGTACTAATGGAAGATTTTTACTGGCCATGCTGGTATAATTCCAAAGATCATGTCACAGTTGGATCTTCATCAGTAGACAGCCTAAGTTGCTCATGAGCTATTTTTTAAAAAGCCCCCATAAGGAACTCATCTTTTAAAAATTCCAGGAAGCTCCCTCCTATACCTTATGCTTCTTCTAAATTAATAAAACAGAGTTGGGCCGGCCCGGTGGCGCACTGGAGAGTGCGCCGCTTGGGAGCGTGGTGGCGCTCCCGCCGAGGGTTCGGATCCCATGTGGAGACCGGTTCCCGCTCACTGGCTGAGCGCGGTGCAGGCGCAACACCGAGGGTTGCGTTCCTGTTGCTGGTCCCCGCGTTCCTGTTGCTGGTCCCCGGTACGGGCGCGACACGGAGGGTTGCGATCCCATTACCGGTCAGTAAAAAAGACAAAAAGGAAAAATAAAAATAAAAATAAAAATAAATAAATAAATAAAAATAAAACAAAGAGTTAAAACAAGAAGCATCAGCCTGTCTATCCCAGGACCAGGATTAGAATCCAGGTCTTCTTGCTTCAAATATAACATTCTCCATCTACATTACAGATCATCTCTTTCAGATCTAAATTTCTATAATCCCAGATAAGAATTTAAATAAAAATAGAAATTGGCTCATTCCTATCAAAACTATTCTTCTCTGTCACCAGACCAGTGCTTTCTACCAAGATGGTATAGAAAGGCATTGGCCTAAGGAGTAGAAGGCCCAGGTCTAAGTACTGGCTCTACTCAATGACAATGAACAAGTAACTTTATAAATGAAGGCCTAAGTTTCCTCATCTGAAACCAAGGACCCAGGTGGTCACTTACGTTTAACCCTCCTTAGCATCAGGACTTACCCTAAGAGACCCTGGGAAGATACTGCTTCCAATCCTATTAGTATCAAAGGAAGCTCTCGCCACAGATATAAACGGAGAAGAAGCTAAAGCCCTATTTTTCCCTTCTCTGTCAAGTCTCACACTATTAGACATGCTCTTTCACTCAGAACTCTGAAATAAATGCTCAAGGGGAAAAAAAATGATAGTCATGGTTAGGCAGTTTTACGCAGATCTGAAGTTTTCATTAAGTTCAACATGAGCAGTACAGTGATTGCTGAGGCAATGGCGTCTAATAAGATGCACTAATAGATGCACAGGGTTCAGAACCAAGAACTTGACAATCCTCCTCAACTCTGTAATGATAAGACCACTTAAGGGTCTGCATCCAACTCTAGGATCTAAGAAAGACTAACAAAAGTATTTACAGAAAGGAAACCAAAGAGGAGGCTGAAAAAAATATGGCTTCTTCAAAGAGCTAGGACTATTTAACCTAGTAAAGAGAAGACTCAGGAGAGAGTCTATCTATATTTCTACTCAATCATCCAGGACTCAGCAGAGCTGGGACTAAGTGGGGAGCTACAGAAGAAAGGGGAGACCAGCAAGCTCCCTATCTCTGGGGATGAATCAGCAGAAGCTGGGAGATTCCAATGGAGTATGAGGAGAGGGGTAGGGATAAGATAGAATTCAAAAAGCATTCTAATGAAGAACAACTCCAACACTGTTTGAAGAACTGTTCCCCATTCCCAGCACAGTGACTATATTTGGTCTTATTTAGTGACTGTATGTAGAATCATTTCAATAATTTTCCCTTTGCTAAGAATTTTCTATTCATGTCCTTTTAAGGCCAAGTTGCTGCCCATCTTCTTCCAGCAATAAAATTGACAACCCAGCTGCCTATTACCTTCTGAGGACTTCCATGCCTTCCACAGGTCCTCCACGCTGATGAGTTTATCCTCACCATGGAAGGTGCTGTGTTTCACTGTTGGGTCATGGTAATTGAGGTCTTCCCTCAGGAACTGCAAGGGAAAAGCACACAAGTCACAAGAGATACCTGGGAGCCAGTCTGCCAAGATCTCCACACAGGTCATCTGCTTCTAGCTATGCATAGCACATTCCATCTACCCAATGCACAAGTGTATCATATCACTCACATATCCTTCCATGTGCATATGTCTCGGTTGCCAAGGAGACTACCTTTTCTTCTTTGTTATATGTTTCAGTTGAAAAAATAAATAAATACAAATTAGAAATTCCTTCCTCACATTGTTTGTTTAATTACAGAAAAATAATAAATGCCAGTTAACTGGAATAAGCTAGAAGAGGGGAAAAAACAAAAGGGGAATTAATCATTTTGAGTACTTCTTTATACATTAAGCAACAGTCCAAGAACTTCCACAATATTTTCTCATCTAATCTTTACAGCCAATGAATTATCACACCTATTTTACAAATGATAACAGTAATACTCTCGAAGATAATGCAATTAGCCCCAAATCACATAAGGTTTAGAGAGGTTCAATTACTTGCTGTGACAGTTTTAAAATATGTCCACAGATTCTTTGACAATCCTTCTATTAAAGGTAGATTCTCATTCCTCTGAGCATAGGCTAGATGTTAGTCACTTAACTTCTAACAAACAGAATGTGGCATCAGTGACGCTGCATGACTCCCAAGGCTAGGTTAGAAAAGGCAATACAGATTCCACCTGGCTCTCTCTCTCTTTTGGGACATATGCCTGGGGAGCCCTGAACCAACATATAAGAAACCTAGCTACCTTGCAGCCACCACACTAGAGAGGATCATGTGGAAAGACTATATAGAGAAACAGAGAGATATCTGAGCAGCCCCAGCTGTTTGAGTGTTCTAGCCCAGGAGTCAGACATGTGAGTGACTGAGATTTAGGTGATTCCACCACCCAGCTTTCCAGTCAGTTCACCTGACATCATGTGGACACAAATGGGCTATCCCTACTGAACCATGCCCAGATTTCATATACATGAGCAAAATAAATGTTGTTGCTATATTAAATCACTAAATTTTGGGGAGGTTTTTTACACAGCATTAGATAACTGAAAGACTTGCTCAATGTTACAGCTGATAAGTGATGGAGTTAGTATTCCAACCCCAGATGTCTGACTTTAAAGTCCAGATTTTTCTCCTGCACTGAATATGATGTCCCTTAATTATCTAGATTTTTTTCCTGTAATATGCTTTTACAAGAAAGAAGAAAAACAAAGGAAATCAAAGCTTTTAGAAATTTAACTGGTGATTAGCTTCATAGATACTCATTCAGCTTGATCCTTAACTTCATTAATACGTACCAGACTGAACATTGATTACTGCTTTCTACAGATCCTCAAATATCAAAGAAATATGCAATTCTGATCACAACTCTCACAAGCAAACATTTTAGGATTTTTAAGAAATTTGTCATCCATTTTTCTTTATTACTAGGGTCCAAAAAAGGGTCTGACCCAGAGTAATGCCAGTAAATGTTGTTGACTAAATAAATAGATGGTCCCAGATAACCTAGACACAGTCACAAGCAGACTGGGATAGCCAGTCTGGGGGCAGAAAGTCATTCATTCAATCATTCACTCATTTATTCAATAAATATTTAATGAATATTTCTATGTACCAGATATAATTCCAGGTATTAGAGATGCAGTTAAGTAGTAAACAAAACAGACAAAAATCTTTGTCCTTATTGACCTATCACCCTATTGGGGTGAAAGAGACAATATAAATATAGAGTAATATGGAATGCCAAAAGTAGGAGTATTAGTGATTTGTTGTTTTAATTACAGAAATCAAGGAAGGTCTCATTAAGAAGGTGACTTTTAAGCAAATACTGGCAGAAGGTGTAGGAGAAAGGCATACAGAAAAACTGGCAGAAGACTATCCAAGAACAGGGAATGGCAAATACAAAGTCCCTGAGGCAAGAGCATGCTTGGTATGTTCAAGGAATAACAAAGAGGACAGTGTGACTGTAAAGAAATGAGTGAGGTGGTGATTAGTAGGAGATGAACTCAGAACATAAAGCCCCTTTAGGCTATTACAAGAACTTTGACTTTGCTCTGAGATGGGAACTGTTACAAGAATTTGAACAAATGTGTGACATGATCACATTTATATTTTTAATAGGATTACTCTGGGTGCTGGGTTAAGTAGAGCATAACAAGGGCAGAGGTAGGGAAACCAATCAGGTAGCTATTTCAATAATCTGGGTATGAGCTAATGGTGACATGAAACAAGGTGGTAGCTGTGGAAGTGATGAGAAATTGTCAGGTTTGGGATGTATTTTAGAGATCCAATCTTCAGTCCTCATGATTTTTTAGATTTCATTTATCAAGTCCTTTAAGATATACCCTTTTTGGTCCTCTTAGGCTCCAACATAGACCCTCTTAATCTAAGATTAGAGAAACAGGTAACACATGCAGGCCTTAGGAGCAGAAGTGCCAAAATCTCTTGAAGGAGATTTTCTGCCGTTAACAGTTAACTTCAGGAAACCATCTGATGAGAGATAGCAGCTGCTTATAGGAAACCAACAGGAAAGAGACAGATTTTTTTTTTTGTCTTTTGTCTTTTGTCTTTTTCCGTGTCCAGCAACGGATCGCAACCCTCAGTGTTGCCCCCGTACCGGTCAACGGGATCGCAACCCTCGGTGTTGCTCCCGCGCCTCGCTCAGCCAGTGAGCGGGAACCGGTCTGTATGTGGGATCCGAACCCTCGGGCGGGAGCGCCGCCGCGCTTCCCAAGCGGCGCACTATCCAGTGCGCCACCGGGCCGGCCCGGAAAGAGACTGATTTTTATAGCCAAGTCTGATCACTGAGGCATGTGGAGAGCAGAGAAATTCACACAAAGAAAGTACAAGGAGGATCTACACAAGTGCTCACATACAGGCTCTGTAGGTGCCACGAAGCATGCAAACAGGAGTAGGGTCAGAAAATAAGGCCAGCAAGAAGATGATGTCAAATGAGGAATGGGGGCTGATAGAAGCCCTACCTGAAGGAAGGGCCTAATGACGAACAGAACCTCTTTAGAGAACAAAGAAATGAAGATGCAACAAGCAGACCTTAAGAGTCAAAATGGCAGTGTATTACTATGATTATAAAGAATTCAGGACCTGAAGAATTCAGGACCTGAAGAAGTAGACCACTTGCTTCCTAGGTGACTTTTGAAGGTACTTAGCCTCTCTGAGCCTATTTTCCCCTCAAAATGAAGAAAAATAATTCCTCACATTTGGGTGTGATAAAGATCAAATGAGACATGTTTGCAAAAGTCATAAACTGCCTTTACATGTGTCTTTTATTGGCCTGCAGAGCATTTTATAACATCGAGCCAATACTTAAAATCAGAAAATTTCAGAAAAAGTCCAGCTTTTCAGGCTATCTTTTAAAAAATCAAAAGATTAGGGGCCGGCCCGGTGGCGCACTGCGCTAGTGCGCCGCTTGGGAAGCGCGGAGGCGCTCCCGCCGAGGGTTCGGATCCCACATACAGACCGGTTCCCGCTCACTGGCTGAGCGAGGTGCGGGGGCAACACCGAGGGTTGCGATCCCGTTGCCGGTCCCGGTCCGGTACGGGGGCGACACTGAGGGTTGCGATCCGTTGCCGGACACGGAAAAAGACAAAAAAAAAAAAAAGATTAGCAATACTGGGCACCAGTGACTTTAGAATTTTATATGGGAGAGGCTTAAGGGCTGCATTTGATTGGAAAGGGAGGGTAATGGCTACAGAACTTATCATGAGGTTGTGTTTGCACACCAAGCACACTATTTTTATGTAGATTGTTCATTACAAGTTAATTTTAAAATGAAACATTTTATGAAGATGTTTTATTCACGTTTTACTTAACATTAAGGAAAAAATCAATTTTCCATATCATAGAATAATATATATAATATACAACGTAATTATATATGTATAATATATACTATATATGTTTAAATATATGTATATGTACATATATGCATATATACACATGTTGTACTTTGTGGCATCTTGGAGGTGGAAGAGTTGGCCTAAGGGAGCTCATGAAGGCCTCAAGCCCTACACCCAGATACCTCTACTGTGGTTACATGTCTACATGGCAACAATCTGCCAGGGCTTTGCTGCAGCTGCTCTTTGCTGAAAAGGCACGCATTCTCTAGTTTGCTACAATTTGCACCACTCACAGATGTATGCATATGCATTTATACAGCCCACGCTACTCAGTTACGATGACCCCTGGCCCCTCACAGGCATAGTTTGTGATTCCTGGTATACACTAAAGCACTCTGTAAGTATTAAAGTACAACTCAAATGTTAGCTATGGTTATTATTGGAAGGAGGGTGAGGTAAGGGCAGGAAAGTAAGAGAAAAAGAGTCTTGGTCAAAGGTGTACTCTTCTGTGTTCCCACAGCTCCTGTGCATACCTTTATTAGCCTTGTTATATGTTCATCTCCCCTGCCCAACTATATACCCCCTGACAGAAGTTCCCAGTTACCCAGCCATAAGCATAGCACACAAGAATATTATACTGAGCTAGAACACTGATGTCCAAAATACTTGAGGTAGGCATCTTACTCTGAATACTGTCCCATATCCAGCTAATAGCTAAAGTTTGATCTAAGACAAAGTTTAAAAGCAACAAAAAGCAAAAACAAAACAAAACAGGCAGCTTTGGTTCCCACAGCAAGGATTTACTATTTCAGACTCCAAACAAATAGCTCCTCTCGCAGGAAGAGGCTCCCTAAAAGTCCTGCCTTACTTTGGTGAATGCAGCATTGGCTAGAACTGCAGCTCAATAGCTCTCCAAAGAGCCAAGGCACCAGCTGTCATTAGGTATATTTAGTTCTATGAGCTCAGATAAGTGATCTTCCAGGAGGTGGCACAAAGTATGCAAATCCATCCCAAGTGTTAAGCAGTGGCGAAGTAGTGGAAGTGGGAGCAGAGAAGAGAGAGATATCTGTCTAGAATTCCCACAAAATAGGCCCAGCCATATTGCTCTATCAGGGAAAAGAATTATCTGACGTAAA